GAAAATTCTCTTCTATGGAGTATATTTTATTAAGATGATCTTTACGGCTCGCCAGGCTACGCCTCTGTCGTTGTCGTGCTCACTGCCGATTCAATCTCGCTCTGCGGCTTCGTCTCTGACAATATAACCATACTCTGACATAACTATTATTCCTCTATAAATGCTTTGTACTCACTTTTCCCCCAACCACATCCTGCTTCCTTACCACCGTTATCATTATCTATTTCTACCTCATTTTCTCCCTCTGATAGATTATTTCTCGTTTCCTTAAATTCTTTACCTACTTTAAACAACTTCACGCTTGATTTGTCTTTAAATGCGTCTGAAAATTTTCGCGTTGCACATATAAATGTAAGATCTCATTTTTTATATGTAAAAGACTTAATTTTTCTTCGCGCACTTGATATACTGGCTCTTTTCCGAAACGTGACTTCGTGAGAGGGATGATTCGATCTATGCTATTAAAGATTATTATCTACTGCGCTCTGAAAGGATATATAGCTTGAGGGCTGATGTTGCCTTATATATAAGTAGTGCATTGCTTTACTCACCCATCGTCTTGCGCATCCCTTTCGCGAATTCCACTATCGAGATTGTCGGTGCGTTTATATATCTTCATAAAAAGCAGATAGCGGTTTTCTCTATTTATCGTCCTTCTCAAGCGTCGATACATTTTGGCAATACATGACTTTGAGGCGTGTCTGTCTAGCGTTTTTTTTCTGTAGCATTGATTACATTGTATGTAATCAGGGCGATCTTAATATTGATCTCTTGAATCCACAAGGTACTCATGCGCATTATTTGCAAAATATTATATAATTATACTCGATGAAATAAATAATAGACACTCCTACGAGAATAACAAGCTAATTGCACATCTCTTTTGGATTTAACATTTCTGTCTCATGATTTACCATTTTTGGAGTCGGCCGATTGCGATGAAATTGATGTTAGCGATCATCATGTAATCTATGCATATTTAAATATTGAGAAACCACATCGTCCTTCGCGTAAGAGGCTCTGCCGTAATTTGAGTTCAATTTCTGATGAAGCTTTAGAGAACGTGATTAATCAAATTGAGTGGTCACAGCTTTATGCTATAAATAATGTAGACGACGGATTTCTTTCTTTACATCGAATCTAATATTTTCGATTGCCTTGCGCCGCTTACGTACAAATGCTCTTTCTTGAGCACTCCATGACTTATTGAAGCGATTCGCAAGCTCATAAAAATTAGAAATCGAGCGTTAAGCAGGGATATGAAGAACAATTCTAATGATAATTGGCTACGTTATATCAAATTATGAAATCTAGTGTCTTCTGCAATTAGGCGCAAAAAACAATCTTTTTTAAGCTCCTTCTTACTCAAGTACTTTTGGGATTTTTGGAGGAATTTGGCATCTCTGGGTTATAAGTATCCACTCTCATACCATCCCTGAACGTCTCCTTAATCCTAATAGTCCAAAATAATTATTTCTTACAATCCCTTCCCTCTTCCTCATATTCCAGTTCTGTCATTAATTACTTTCTTCATACTCAATCTGTCACTTCGAATGAATTTTATTTTTCTCTAATTAATATGACCGACTCTATACAATATACTTAAAACTATAACTTACTTTCGCTAGATCTTATGATTTCTCAGGACGCATGTTATTTCTCTCTCCTTCTAGTTGTCTTGAGCCATTACTATTTATCCTTAATTCATGCCTAACTAGAGGGATTTTTCTTACTGGAAGCACTCAATAGTTATTCCTCTCCCAAAGACATCTAATCCTTCCTCTCCAGAGTCTTTTCGTCCAATTACTCTTTTCTCTCAAAAATTCTGGAACGCATCATTTTTATACAAATGAGCTATTTCTTTCATGTGAATGATATAATTCTTAAATGTCAATCCGATAAAAATCACAATATCATTACCATCTCTCTTCTTCATCTGTCAGACTCTGTTCTTCGATCTTTCGATACTAGCTCTTTGTCGGCTCTTGTAACTTTAGATTTTTCTAAAGCTTTTGATACAGTTAATTATGAGTTATTGACTGCCAAGTTGCATCATGGCCTATGTGACTCCTCTGTATCACTTTTACGTTCCTTCCTCTCTAATCGTTTTCAGAAAGTTCTTGTTTATAATCTTTCTCCTAGTTTCTCCTTACAACGACTCCTCTGTATGCTTACATCTATGCTGACGATGTACTGCTTTTCATATCTTTCAAATCCTCTGAAGCTCTCTGTTGCATATTCACTAGATGATGACCTTCGAAAAATCATTGAATGATCGACATCAAATGGACTGCATAAATCTCGCCAAATCTGCACTTTTAATTACTGTTTTTTCTACCTTACTTTCTCATCTTCCTGCTTTCGATATCTCTATTCAAAAGAGATTCAAAATAGTTCCATTGAAATCAAAATAGTTCCATTGATCCCCAGCACGAATATCAAAATTCTAAGCTTGCACATTGGCTCATCATGGTCATTTGAACACTATGTTGTTGCTAAAGACTTGTATATTCTCGTTTTAAACTACTATATCTTTTTCGCCACATTATCTCAGAAACTACAAGTTACACAATCTCTAGTAATATCTCTGTTTGATTAGGCCGACTGTATATATTCCTTGTCTCAAACAACATTATCTTCATAGAATACAATTAATCCAAAATTCCTGTCTTCGTTTTTCCTACGGTGTTTAGAAAGTGCGATCATATTACTTTGCTTTCAGCGCTCTGGTTGGCTAAATATTTTCAAACGTTTCACAGTTCATTTATGTTGCTTGCTTTATAATGTTCTTCGCACCAATACTCTTAGATATCTTCGTGAGCTAATCCGTTTTAACATTGACTCATTCAGATGCTCTGCCTGATACTCGTTAGCAATACCAATTCTCATGTCCTACTCATCACAAATCTAAATTTCAGAGCACCTTCTCTTACATGGCAGTGAAATTTTATAATAATATACCATCTGCTTTACGCTCTCTACGGCTTCCTGTATTTCTGAAATTACTCGACATATTACGTCAAAATTTTAATATCAGATCAACTGTTTTGTACAATTCTTCTTGTTGTTCTCTATGAGTAGTGTATGTTATAACTTTTATTTCTTTCTACCTCAGTATTCTACAGTAATTTGCGTATTTATATAATTGTAATATTAGTTTTGAATTTTTTTTTATAATTCACTTATTCTAATATACAAGTACGGCTTTAAATCAGCTGCTCAGCTGTCGCCCAGCCTATTGTAGTGTAACTGATACGTGATACCAAATAATACTATATTCTATCTAATGTATTTTGTTAACAGTGCACTCAATAAAGTTAATAATAATAATAATAATAATAATAATAATGTTTGATATACATGATACATATACACTGGGCAACAAAAAAATTAACGCAATACCTGTTTCACTCTGCAAAAATAGGCAAATTTCAAGATATAATAACTTCGTCAAAAATTGTCGTATCGGGATGTTTAAAAAAGCATTTTACAGGTACAAATCTCTACTTTTCGGATCGCTACTTAAAAAACGGTCTCATGGAAATTTTATGAAATTACACAAACATAAATGAAGATATATCAGACCTCAAA